ACCAGAAATTATTTCATATATATATATATATATATATATATATATATATATATATATATATATATATATATATATATATATATATATATATATATATATATATATATATATTATATGTATGTATATATATATATATATGTATGTATGTATGTATATATATATATATATATATATATATATATATATGTATGTATGTATATATATATATATATATATATATATATATATGTGTGTGTGTGTGTGTGTATGTTCATTTATAAAATATAACTTTTTAAAGCTTGAATATGTTTACATAGGTATTAAAAAGAAAAGGAAAAATGAATATGATTTTAAAGGAAAAGCACAAAACTCATTTTAGGGGAAGTTTTGGTTATATTCAATATTAACCTTTTGTTGCTACAAATGATGTGACAGTTATAGGTCGCCTAAGGTCAGCTCCAGGCTCTACATTTAGTTGTAACCATATATGCCTTATGGTAACATTAGCGTGAGAAACTTAGTGTTAACAGGAAAAGACATCTTCCGATTTATATGAAACAGTAATTATAATCACTTAAATACAGAAGTAGGTGATAAACCTATTAAATTTGAAAATACCCATGCAAGTTGATGGTTGTTTTCTTCAAAATAAAAATGTAGTTAAAAGAAGACATCTTTGACGTTGAGGTTTTGTTAGCCACTCATGGCAATATGGTTCCACTTCACATATGCTAAAAACTTTAAATATTTTCTATAAACCAAACTTCACTCCATCCGTAAATGGCTCCAAAGTTTAAAAGAGTAGGAGAAAATATTAGAAATATTCAACATACAACGTAAGGATAGATTGTCAAGAGAAGACTATCACTGTTGTACAAAAGAGACCTGCTAATGATGACATGTATTTATCCAAAGTTGCTTCCCTTTATCAAACCACTTTTGAGTTGTGGAACTGTTCTCAGGAACAGTGATGGAAAAATCCACAATATTGAGCCGTCACCCGGGCGATCGCTCGTTAGTTTGAAATGTTATTCACCTTTTAGTAATGCGGTATAGTTACCGGTATGACAAGTTTCATCGGTTAATGTAAAATTAAAATTTTAGTGTAAGGGAAAGTGTGATAAAAAGTATGATGGAAAATAATATACTCAGCCATGACCTTGATCTTGAAGATAGTAGCCAAGTAGAAACTTTGATATATATATTCTAGCGATCGTGTACAAGCATCATCATGTTTAACCCATTAATCTCAACAAATTTTAAACAAATGTAGCAGAAAGGAAATGTCATAAAGAAGATAACATATATACTATGTCCCCCCCGTTTTCATTCACAAAAAGAGCTGGATAAAAATCTAAAGTTTACAGAAAATCTAAATTCGGTAATAAAATTAAAACAATTACTACAATAGAACCTGATTTGAAAGACCACTTCTGCCAAGCATAGCCTTTTATAATACTACAACATCAACAAAACTGTTATAAAATGAACCCAAATAGGTTATCTGTTTATGCACATAAACACATCCATATATAGCTGACCTGATTACCGTTTCAGGCCAAAACATCTATTGTTTTCTCTTTAAACATGACAAATGCACACGTTTTGAGCAGAAACTTTGTAAAAAGAATTTATTTTGTTTAATGTCTAGCACCTTTATACACAATTCCATGACAAATGGATTCTCAATAAATGCTTGCGGCTCTCATATAATATCTTGCCATATACCTTCAACATACCAATCTTGGCACAAATTATATAGTAATGTAAACTAGGCCATCCATCCATTTAAATACTCACATTATTGGTAGGCAGTTTGAATTGAGTTATTTTTTAGTTTGAATGTATTCACTAAAACACCATTTCACCATAAAAGGTCTGTGGATGAATTAACAATGGATTGACTTAATGGCATTGTGCGTCACTCATCTATACAAATTACAAGTTCCTGTCACAAGGTATTTAATCATTTCCAGTGATATGTGATCTACACAAGCTTTTCAAGGCTTACACGGAAGTTTAAAGAACATAACTACTTTAATATCTGTAATCTGACCATCGTACTCTTTTCCAATGTGCAAGACAGATTTGAAAGGAAAGAAGACTTACCGGACAATGTCTTGTAATTTATATCTCTCTTCCTTCCATTTCATCTGCGTTTGTCTTCCAACCCGTTGCGGGTAAGACAGGACTTGTTCTGTCTTGATTTCAAAAATGTTCTTAGGTTTTGTGCCAGAATTCTAAAGCAATATGTGTCCATGATAAGTTATAAACCTCATTCAAAAACTAGTTGGAAAAACTGGTTACAGACAGTTAGAGGAATTAAACTGATTTAATTACACACACACACACACACACACACACACACACACACACACACATATATATATATATATATATATATATATATATATATATATATATATATATATATATATATATATATATATATATTTGTGTGTGTGTATGTGTGTGTGTGTGAAATTCCACTCGCCATTTTGGATACAAATGATTGGACATTATTCTTAATGCTGTTTTAAAGAAGAATGATAAAATATTTTTATAAAAAAATAATCGTAACAAGAAGTTAATCTTCTTGCGAATATCAAGTTGTTTTCAAACTAAAGATGTAAATTTGTATCTTACAGTTTTCGTACATAAAAAGAGCACGATGTTGCTAATTCAAAAAAACAACAAAAACAATATTCAATACATAGATAAGCTAATTATTTCCCATATTTGTTTTAAAAACAAAATGTGCCTCAACTTATGTCCAAGTAAATGGCGTTCGTAATTCCAGGTTTTGGAAAAATATGATGGTCTGACTAATATCAGAAAAAAATAAAAGGATAAAGTTTTCATCTGTAGTGAAGGCAAAGTTCTCATCTTTGCTGACCAAAGTCTTCTACTTGACTCGAACAATAGCCTAAGAAAAATAAATGGAAATAAGGACAATAACAAAGTTTATTCTGTTAACTTGCAAAAGTCAAATATCCGAATATTTCAATTAAACAATCTTTATAATGGAACCAAAGGTAATAAGGATCTGTTAAATTGGATCGAATTAATTCAGAATTTGTGTACCAAACATTTTCTTCAGGCATCTACTTTTGTTTCAAATATTCTAGCATGTCTGAAACATTCTTAGATCTGTGTTTCAGCATGTATCGATTAGTTGTATTTATTTAAACATGAATAAAATGCAAATTACAGTTTTGTTTAAGTTTGTCGTTAAAGATGTTCACACATATAAACATGAACATTAGTTATATACTATACCAAAAACTCCAAACATTCAACGTACATGTACCTTAAACTCTGGAACAGGTTCCATTATAAAAGTTACTTTTGGATCCTGTTATTGACAAGGAACCCACACTTAGATTGTGCCGCAATCCCTTTATCTCTTTTCCGATTGGTCAAACCATTTCTTGAACGAACCGTTCTGATTCTGAAACGCTTGTGCCTGTTGTTCCATCAAAAATATGTTACCGTCTGCATTATCATGCTATTTGTCACTTCTTGGAAGGGAGATAACTAAAGTCAGCTCAAATACATAAAATTTACTTGAAACACTTGTCCTTTCTTTTCACGAATGGTGCATCAAAAGACATTCAGCCAAAATAGACTGCCATTTAATTTAGAAGAAAAAAAAATATGCGGTAGTGAAATATGAAGGAATGTTCAGGTCAGAAAAGATATGTTATCCTCGACCTACTATGGTTCGTACCCTTTATTAGTTGTAATGATTTGCACGATAATATCGAGTAAAAATATTAAAATCACCAAAGAAAGTGTTCATCTATGTTTTCATAAGTTATTCGTCGTTGCAAAAATTTTAAAACCTCTCCAAATTCTCTGCTAGCTAAAATGTTTTCAAACATGTCAAAACTTGACTATTTCGTGACGTTTCCAAGGTTCGAACTCCTGAAATAAATGCCACGTGAAGTAAGATTGGAATGTGACAATTAGAGCAAGTTACATAAATGAATCCTTTATGATTGACTTGCATTGTTTATTTTATTTGGTATTATATTTCATTTCTTTCAACGCATATTAGCTCCAATAAATTAATGATGACAAAACATCAAAGAAAACAATATGCGCTTTTCCATTTTTCTTTTTCATATTGTATTTATAGATGTATTGAATTTTTAAAGATATTTGCTTTTCAGTGTTATAACTAACATGTTTTCATTTTGTATTTAAATGAGAACTTTCATGCAATAGATTTCTATTATATTATTTGTTCCTAACATGATCTTAGATGTGTATGTTTTACTAACCAAGTTTTTGTTTTGCCTTTGCCGTCACATATAAATAATGTGTGGGTTTACCTGCTAATAAAAAGCAACGAAATCCAAATTATGAACAGCTGCCTAACTTTAACGGCCAACGGCCACTCCCTTCAGGATCACAAACTTGCAGCAAATATGGCGTTAATTAAATAAAATGTTTCCATTGTGTTTTTTATGATTTGAATAGTAATGCGTATTCAAATTTTATTTCGTCGAGTATTTTGTAATCAGTGCCGACAAGATGGGGCAACCGCGGAAATATAACGGGGCCATGCCTTAACATCACTTTGTAATTTTATGAAAGAAAATTTTGTTTGAACAAGAACTTGGAGAGGCCCGGTTATTTTTTACCCCAGGGTCCGTGATGGCTCTCTACAGCCATGTTCTTATTCATCTGTTACAGTCACTGTTAACAAAATGGTATTGACCAGGCGGATGACATCAGATCGCGTGAAACATAAGACACACATCGAGGATGGTAACGAAGTTGGGGCGATCAACAATACTATATAGGATTGAAAATGATGGGAGTGTCAAACATATTCTCAAAATTTGAGAAAGTCACTGACACTTCCTACCGTGTCAAATTGAAATCCTGCTGACATACCATTAATAAATTTAGGATTATATTTAAATATTGAAAAATAAATATAACGGTTCGTTTATATACGAAATACGTGATTGTATTATTCACATTTATTTTGTTAACATAATATTAGAGACTGCTCCGGTGGCTTACTGGTTATAGCGTCCGCCTCGGATGTGGGAGGTCGTGGGCTCGATCCCCAGTCTAGTCATACCAATGACTTACAAAAATGGTACTAATAGCTGCCTTGCTTGGCGCTCAGCATTAGGAGGTTAGTGTTAGGGCTGGTCAGCCTGGTGTCAGAAAATTGTGACAAGGTGAAACATCATGCTACATGTCTGCGGCATGATGCCCCAGTGCTAGACATCGCTATAAACTACCACTCTGCAGACATCGAAGCGATATGACTGAAACATTTTTAAATCTACTTTGAAAATCCAAATCACATATACACACACATGCACACACACACATTATAAGATGCCTATGTCTAATTGAAGATGACAAAATCATTTCGTTATGGTTATGATATATTGTTAAGAATTTGTCTGTCACTTTGTTTTTCTCTGAACTAAAATTCGTTATCTATCAATGCATCTAAGAAATTATTTAAACGATATACGTTAACTGTCAGATCAGAAATGAAACCCCAAGTTTACTGATAGGAATAAATTGATATAATGAATTAACTTGAACAGGCATATTTGCACACCCAAATTAGAAACAGGGACAAAAGAAGACGTTTAAAATAGGGGGAGGCAGCTGAAAGCGGCAGAGGAAAAAATTATTAAAAGACATAACTGATGATAAAACAGATATGATCATTGAGGATGGGCAACTATGAGACTGGACAACATCTATGCCAACCTCATTACAGTAATAGATCTCCTGACAAGGTCTCCAATGCAGTTTACTTCAATGGCGGCATAGGGGACAGTTTCAGAATGACAGTCGGAGTCAGACAAGGCTATCTGCTTTCTCACACACTATTAAACATATTTATGGAGAGAATCATAGCTGATGCGATTGAAAAACATGAATGGACAGTCAGCATCGGAGACAGAATAGTAATTAACTTACGTTTTGCCGAAGACATTGATGGACTGGCAGGAAATGAGCAAGACATAGCTTGCTTAGTAAAGAGCATCGACAAAACCTCCTATGCCTACGACAAAAACAGTGCAGAGAAGACCAAGCTAATGATCAACAACACCAAGGTCATCAGTACTGACATCATGGTCTAGAGTACGAAGCTAGAAACAGTTAACAGCTTTAAGTATTTAGGAGACTTGGAACGACAAGAACATCGCACTCATTTCAAAGGTCAGACTGATACACTCACAGGTTATCTTCATATTTCTCTACCCCTGATAATCATGGACCATAACAGCTAACTTAGAGAAAAGGCTGCAAGCTACAGAGATGAGATGTTTTCGAAAGATCCTTCGTGTCTCATACAAAGACCGTGTCACCAATGAAGAAATACAGCAAAGGATCATGCAAGCCATTGGGCCTCACGACGACCTCCTGAATACAGTGAAAAAACGTAAACAGCACTGATTTGGGCATGTCTCACAATCAACAGGCCTTGCCAATACAATCCTGCAAGTCACTGTACAAGGAAGATGAAGGAGAGGCAGGCAGAGAAAGAGGTGGGAAAACAATATTCGAGAGGACAGGCATGACATTGAGCGACTCACTGAGAAAGACTTAAAATCGAGAGGAATGGAGGAATCTGGTTGTTTGGTCTTGTATGGAGCCCCAACGGTTTACCAGACTGCGGGACTGCTGCTGCTCCTGATGATGATGATGACGACAACGACGACTATGATGATAATGATGATGATGATGAAGCAAATTATTTATAAATCCATTGTACTGCTAAGCTCTTAACTGGTACATGGTGCTATAATAGCATTGTAAATAAGTGAGATTTCTTGCTCTGAGGCATCTCCTTCACTTCAAACAAGTAAACATTCCCTATGAAAAAGTCCCCTCCTATCCATTTCCTATACTTTTTGACCAACGAGGATTCTGGCTCAGTTATTCTATTTTAGACTAGCGACTAGGTGACGGCTAATAATGTACTCATTTCAAGGCTTCTGTTATCGATTAGACCGTGTGATGGCTAATAATGGAGCCGTTCCAAGGCTTCTATTATCGATGGCAAATAATAGAACAGTTATTTTCATTGACTGATGAAAGTGTACAGATTCTTGTCCAGAGACCTGGTTTCGATTTATAAAGTTTAGATAAAATTTTATACCCTGTCATTATGTACTTTTTATACCTGCTAACTCTAATTGGTAGAATATCTGTTAACATACTGTCAATAACACAAAACTTTGGTATTAAATCTTCAATATCGTATTTTAAACCTAGCAAATAAGATCGAATCTGATACTCGCTGATTTACAGGCATTTTTTGTAACAAGTCGAAGCTCAATTGGCGAAAACGGATTTAATGATGCTCCACTCGAAATTATACCAGAACCAGGCATTAGCAGTGGTAGGTATGATATTATCCGAAGTATTTTGCTATAGTATTTGTTACACTGTTTTACGCATCAATGATTTTTATGAAAAAAGTTGTAATATTACATTAATGCGTCCATATATTGTGTTGGAATTTGATCTGAAATATGATTGAAAACGATAACATTTGCTTGCAATTGTTACACAATATTTAAACCTCTAGCACTAGACATTAAATCAAGAAACTTACGGAACTTATTATTGTTAGGGTCAGCTATAAAATTGTCCAGAACGTTAGAGTTATGGAAGTGGAACATAATCTTCTTCAATGATGTCGTAGTAAGAATCAATCTTTTCTTCCCGACTTGTTTGTTTAACTTCTTCAAGTAACTTTGTTTGCACAACATCATTGAAATTTTTGTTATAGATTCGTTAACAATCATCGGGTCGAATTATGGTGTTTTACGTATCACTGGTAAAACTGCATTCGAGTACACATTAATAATTAACGTTGTATCCGTTAAACTAACGATTTCAACCAGAGTTTCCTTGCTGTGGTAGTACATACCGAGATGCTTAAAAATTGTTTGTTTTGAAAAACTATTATGTAACGCTTTGTTTTCTTTAAATTTTAATATTATAGATTCCGCTAGTTTGTCGAGATGATCATGATTATCGTTTATTCTTTCTCCTGTGCTCTTTCACCATTAGCTTTTGCTTTACATTGATCTGATTGAATAATTGTATCAATATTTTCCTTACTGAGCTCGAGTTATATTTTTGTTAGAAGAGTTTAAACTTTAACTTGTTCCTCACGACAATCACCAGCATGACAGTATTTGTTTATAATATCAAAGTTTCTTATTGCTACTATCAATTGGCATCCTCGCATATGCATAACATGAATAAACTTAATTTCGCTTTCTGATAATTGGCTTGCTGGATTGTTCGTCGAATTAAGGTTATAATTGGTGGTTCAGACATTCTTTTATAATATTAGATTAAAGGTGATCATCGAGTGTGTTATATTTGAAATGATGTCAATCCTCGAAACGAATCTACAGCAGCGATAACATAAATTCGAAAATAAAAGCACTTGTTAACAACAGTATGTTCAGTTGAAATTGTAAAATACTAATATATATATATATATATATATATATATATATATATATATATATATATATATATATATATATATATATATATATATATATATATATTTGCATTATACAATATTAATCAGTCAATATCATCCAACGCGCAAATGAAATTGCCAAATAGCAACTCTAATGGGACGTATGACTTTGATCCAAAATTCTTTATTTCCTCCATTCAGAGAAAGAGTGATGAGCATAATGTTCAGAATGATATGATGATGCTCTTACCTCAAACCCAACTCGTTATCAGTTGCCTTAAAAGTTGTTGGAATATAACCAACCTTATTCTTAGTTTTTTGTCGCACCACCACTAGGTACACTATCAACAATGCGCCTTATTTGTCAGATCTTCAATGTTAACCGGAGAATAATTTGCTATTATTTTTTAAGGTCCCATATGTAATTTTCCTGTCATTGTACGAACAATTGTTTTTACAAATTTGCCTTTTGACAAATCTAACTTTAGTCAGCCAATCATCTTTGCTACGACTTGCATTACCAAGTTGAGTATTATAAATCAACTTACCTCCCATATCAATCGATCCAGTCATCATTCCATCAGATAATTTTAAATACGGTGACAGTGCGCCTCTTAAATGAACATAGCTAATAGCGTCTGTATCATTAGCTGGAGGCAAGGTTATCGGTAATCTTGTGATATTGAATTGTTGCTCATTGTTAAGGTACCTGTCATTGTTCCGCCGGTTCTGTTTAGTCTCTTTTCTTCGACGATTTTCAACTGTAAATGACGTACCGCATGTGTTTGATTTAAGTTTGCTAGTGGGTATGCAGTTTACAATTTAATATTTTTTCCTGCCATATCCAAGTTACCCTTTAACGTTCCTCCTGTCAATGTTAGCTTGTTATTGTCGTTCGTTTTTAGTTGTGAGTAATTTACTGCTTGAGTAAGATCAACCTTTGGTGGTGGATAATCAATAATAATAATCAACTTCTAAACCAACTACTTTCTTATTTTACATCAATATATTTCCTGCCATTATGTCGCTATTATGTCGTCTGTTTTTTTTTTACGAAGGCTAATTTATCAGTTATTGTTGATGGTTCGTCATAACTTTTGTGAGCTTATATTTTATATAACAAAGATGAGACATAAAGGTTTATAGAATAAAATTTGTAGGTGTATTCTATGGAAATATATTTACAAAACTAATTGAAAACGTCCTAGGAATTGCTGGTAAAGAAGCACCAACTGCACTTCACGCAGGTAAAACTTTTGCGACTGGAGCGGCTACTTCAGCAGGCACCGGAGTCGGAACAAAAGATTGCTGATAAAATTAAATGCTGCCCACATTCAAACGCAGAAATAAAACTAGCAATATTAGATATTGAACCAACAAAAGAAACAGCTATGATAGCTACAACAAAAAAAATACTTTCCCAAGCTAGTGACGAGGTTATACGCACACTTATGAAGAAAGCAAAATAAATAATAACACCTGCAGCCTTTTATTTATTACAATTTTGTGTCACACGACTTTGTGTGGCGATTATAAAAAAATAATGTCAGTCAAAAATTACCGACAAAGTGACATATTTCGAGTATGTTGAGATCCCCA